GTCAAGTCTGCTGTGTCTCTTAAGCAAACAGCCAGCTCGTAGTTTAATCTGCCCCCAGAAGAGGCATATGGACTTGTGACAGAGTATGTCGAAGGAATGCTTGGATACTGCGTTCAACTGGACTCGATATGGTCGAGTAAGGACGAGATGCGGAAGCTGGTAAGCATTCTGATGATTTGTAGGTGTCGGATATCTTAGTGATTGACGGAAGGCTGAATATGCTCTCTCTACGGCTCTCGACATGAGCGAGCGAGGAGTTATACACGGCGACCTCATGAAGCAGAATCTCATAATCCGACAAGGCGATGCGAAATTCCCCATCGTGTTTATCGACTTTGGGAACGCAAAGGGTGTTGAAGATGAGACACGTATTGATAATGGCTGGGAGTGAGTTGCTCAATGTAAAGAAGTCAGGAAAGGAGTCTAAGAGAATGCTGGTCGGCAGGATACTTCAAGAACTCGTCCGGATGGGATTCCCAAAGGAAGTGCTTCGTGAGTGGTTGGAGGATTGCCGTAATAATTCGCCGTCTCAGCAACTGCAAAACTTCATTACCGAGGCACCCATAGGATATGGCTGGGAGAAATGGATGGAAAAGATTTTGCAGTAGATGGGAAATAGCTACGGAGTGCATGTCTTCTTTATGGATTGCTTCGAAGAACCAGACAGACTTGACTTGAGGTACAGCAATGCCACACTTTTGCTTCATTCACCGTTCGTATGTTAGTTGCATACAGCTGTCCTCGTGTCCGCCACCGCCACCACCACATCCGGCGTTGATCCCGAAATGAATCCGTTGGGCGCTCGTCGGGCGCCAACGATTCTGTTTATCTCCGTGACACCACAGATAGCGATGTTCAAGCGAGACTGCACTCCAGCCTTGCCTGCCGGAAGCAAACATAGCTGTGAGCTGTATGTGTGTGCGAGGCAGCGTGCCTATCGTCATCTAGGCTGTGTACCATGCATGATTTGTGCGGCAGGCTATGCCTTGTGTCGTGATCGCGGAGTTCGAACCGCGCCTCTTGTGTTCGTATGCATTTCAAGACAATGGGGTCGTGAGGCGAGATATTCGCAGGTCAAAGCTACGGAGATCATGATAAGATCTCCGCTCGGCGCGATTTCCTTATACAAGGCCGCCTGCCGGTGACGGTCTGCAGCACACCCTCTTGCTCTCGACATCCACTCACCACCTACCCTCTGACAAGCATACTCGCGCGCGCGCAGAATCAACACACATTATAACTGGTGAGCACTCTGCATGTCATATCCCAGCTCCTTGTGCCTCCATTCGGCGCGGCAGTAGGAGTGTCTGTGGCGTCGTAGCGCGGGAGGGGAGTTTTGCGACAGGAAACATACGGCTGACACCGGTGCTCTGTACCCCCTATCCAGATACTCCAGGAATCAAAAATCGCAATGCTCTGGCTCCGCATAGCCAGCCAAATGGGGCTTGCCCTGTTTACGTTGATCGTGCAGATGCAGCTGCACGGCAATCTCTATGTGCCACAATCCATCGGACTGTTCTTCGACGCGGCCGTACCGCACCTTCTACTCATCGCCGGTGATGTCTCGCACTCGCTTCTGTGAGTGATGCTCATATGGATACACTGCATATGCTCACATGGTCTTTGCAGTGCATCTGGTCGTTCACCCGTGGCTCCTCCGACTGTGGCTTCCGAATATGTACCGTCTGCTACAATGTCTCCTGTGGATGCGATTACTTGGAACACCACTACGCGCGGCGTGTCCGTAGAATCGTCGTTGCCTTCTTCGTCGTCGGTGCTCGCTGCCACATCCACATCACTACCTCCGAGAAGCAGGCCAACATCCAAGTCCAGAGATCGACCGGTACCTGTTTGGCGGGAGGGCTTCATCACCCCGACGGAAGAATCCAATACGAGCCACGTTATACCCCTTGTCGTTGCCTGCATTGTGGGCGCAGCTTTTGCTCGCGCCACATCGACAATGACGATACCGTCTCTACGATGCCTTCGTCGATTTATACCAGTGAGTGCAGACGGGTCGGGGTGCATGATACAGGCTCATTGTCGTATGCAGTCGAACGCCATTGCCAAGCTCAAGGGCATATTGAAGGGCGGCACACCCACGCAGTCGGGCACAGAGCTCGTGCTCGACGGCGTGGGTGTTTCGTCGACTGTGTCGCTCGTGTCTGCGTCAATCACAGGAGACCAACCAGCAACAGACGCAGAAGGACCACGGCCAGGAGTATATGTATCCGCCTTTCACGGATTCCTGTCAGGTGCGATGCATTGTCGTCCCGGTTGCTTCAATGCCGACTGACATGGTTCTGTCCACAGCATGCATGCCCTCGTCAACGGTACTATTCCCCAATGCAGCGTGTACTATCGCTGCAGATACCCCAGCCGTCGAGGACTCGCAGGAGATCCGTGAAACCGTCAACTCGGTACTCGGTATGCAAACCGAGGCGGAAGACATGGAGGCGCCTGAGAGCAACACACCCGCCGTAGGTATTGCTCACATTGCGACAAGTGTAGTGGCTAATGATCATCGTACACAGAGCATTCCCGTCCGGATCGTCAACGTAAGCGCAGGAGCAGCCGCATCTCCGGGTTCCCAAAGCGCGTCGAACAGTGCAGCCTCCTCTCAATCCGACATCTGGACAGGTCCCTTCGTCGCGCTACTTCCATCGCAGCATGAATTCACAGGCATCCTATACCCAACTGGTGCTTACCTGGTCCCTCTTCTCGACTCTACCACACCGCTGTCGCCTCGCCGTGCCCCATCTGGGTCTTCCAAAATCCCTCCTCGAATCGCGTCAATCCCCGACTGGCTGTGTCCGACCTACACGGAGCAGGCATGCGAGGAGCACATGAAGCGATGCGGTGCGATCGTGGACGAGATGACGCGTCAATGCACGCGGTACATTGCGGCGCGGGAGACACTGCCTGCGGCGCGGTCGTATCTGGAGGAGTGTGTTGAGGAGCAGCGCGCATACATCGAGGAGCTGGAGGCGAGGCTGAAGGTGCAGCGTGGACAGCTAGAGGCGGTGTATGCTGGGATGAAGAAGCGGCAGTCGGACATCGCTTCTCGACGTGAACGCCTGCAGGAAGAACAGGGGAGGATGAAGGAAGAGCGGACGCGGGTGGAGGAGGAACGGTTAGCGGTTGAAGAAAGGCGGAGGGAGGCTGAGGAGGCACGGCTGAGGATTGCAGCGCAGCGGACACGTGCTATGGAGGAGCGGGCTAAGCTGGAGGCGAAGCGGGGCGCCCTGGAGAGAGAGCATGCTGGGATGGAGAAGGAGGGTCTGCCGGCACAAGGAGCGAAGACGGCCAAGGAGATGTGCGACAAGGAGACACAGGTGGACGAGGCTGATGCTGGTCTGAGCGAAGGACAGCTGGACCCGCGCGAGGCAGACACGGTCTCCTCCAGCGAAGGCGAACGTCGAGATGAGAGTGCGCAGGATGGACCAGATGCGGGAGCCGCATTGGGAGCTGAGGAAGACGACGAGAAATCGGGAGAGCTTCAGCAGCAGTCACACCGCGACGCCAATCAGGTCTCGACCGATCGTCAGGACCAGCCGAAGGAGGCATCGACCTCAGCCCAGCAGGCGGAACCCTCCATGGAGGATGATCAAGGCAAGCCCGGGATACACGACGCAGAAGGTGTGGACGTACCGATGGGAGACCACGGTGACGAGGACGAACGCATACCCGATGGACCTTTATCATCCACTCTCAGCACATCGCTAGGGCCAGGAGAATCGCACGAAGAGTGCGACCTGGGATTGTCGGCAAACGCCCCCGGACTGAACGATCCGCCTCGCTCGCCCACTTCTGAGGAAGTGATGGAATCACCCAAGGACAGCGTGATACCTGAGCTGTCTGGACCCGATGGCACAGGTTCTGACGACGTGTTTCGCTATCCGTCGTCGCCATCGTCGCCATCATCGTCGTGTCCCTCGCTCATATCAATCGACCGAGAACGTCGCTCGGAGATTGAAGAATCTCGTCCATCGAGTCTTATAGTGCAGCAGGGTGAGGCCGACGATGTGTTTCGATACCCCGGTGCATCAGATGATGACGTCCGCTCGTCGCCCACTGACGATTCCTCGCTGCCACGTCTCATTCCGCAGCAACAGTCTCCTGGTATGCTCCTTTCACACTCGCCGTCAGTGTCATGTCCTGATCCTGTCACAGATTCCGTCGATTGCAGCCCCTCACATGTTGATGCCACTCCTGCACCGTCAACGCGTGAGCCTCCAACTCCACAGGACGATGCTAAGCCAACCCAGCATGGTGGACTGACCAAGGCGTTCACGTTCAGCATAGGCACGCCACCACTGCGCAATGAGCAGCCTTTGCAGTCTAGCCATCCAGGAGCCAGCATGCATTTCGGCACCCTGACCGCATCATCGACTGGAAGTCAGCCGCTGTTCACGAACATGTTCCAGCTGCCGAGTACGCAAGGCTCGCAACCTGCCGTGGCTAGCAACAACACGGGGCCGAGTACGGCACAAGATGCGGCCAGTGACGACAGACAGGCGGACGAGGAAGACGCGCGAGCTGCCCCTCGGCGGAAGATGCAGACGGATGTGATTACGTCGAGCAGCCGCAGAGACTCTGGGAACCGCGGGCGGCATGGTCGACCAGCGGGACGACGGCGAGGGGCTCGTGGTCACTAGATGGATTGTAATGTGAGTACCGCGCTGGTATCAGTGACATGATGACTGACGCGCGCTATGATAGAGACCTATGCGATCGCGTGCCTACTGGAGTGACCATTCATTCTATATACCCCTGCGCGAATGTATCTTACATGGCAATCATATACCCATTTTGTTTTTAGTGTTTCTGCAGCTTCAAGTTCTCGTGTGTGCGGCGGCTATGCAGTCTCGGTCTGGCCATCAGGCTATATGAGCGCCGCGATTGACACGTCCGAAGACGCTTCCAAGACGTCTGGTACTACTAAATCGCGCTGCAGGAGGCATGAGTGTACCGTGGCCCGTCTGTCGGGAGTACCCCAGCTAATGGCAGCCTTGGTCAATCCATCTGTGGCTCGATTTGGCTGATATATCGGAAGTCGGATGTACATTATATCCTATAGGTGGAGCATAGTACTTGGACGCGACTCTAATTGGCCTGAAGCGGTGGTTCAAGTGAGAATGTAGAACTGGAGCCGTATTCAAGGCTCTATTTTGAATAGTCCAAACGCGTCGACGCGAGACGCGGATGCTCACGGATTTCATCACGGTCACGTGTGAGCATCACCTCCTGTCACAAGGGCGGCGCTTCACTGACCAGAACACGACTCCAATGGACTTCGGTTGTGAGACTTGGTACATACACTGCCTCAGGCCCTAGCGACGACGTCAGCGCTGTAACGTCGTCGCAGATTCCTCTTGGTTGCTCGACATTTGCTTCGTATATGCATGCTCCGAGTCGACCAAGATATGTCAACCAGCTAAATACCGTCACGTATACAAATATCTTGCATGTATGCGGTGCTCGCGTATACGTTTCAGTTGCCGAAGCTCATATCCACTCCCCCATTTTCTGTTTCAGGATTGCACACGAATTCAATGATGATATGCAACGCGACACGACAGATTGCAACGCGGTACAAGACTATTACAGCTGAGATGCTGAAGTATCCTCTTAGAAGGTAAGCAACAGGGGATCGACGGGTGTCATGAGCACACAGGGTATGTGGAGCGCGATGGGCATATTGTGGAGCGGCGAAGGGAGCATGCAGAGGGGACCTAAGAGCGGAATTGCAGCCAATGTCGAGCTTGAAAGACAAAGCAAGGTAGGCCAGTGAGACATCCTATGCGATTGCCAAACAACAGGCGCGCACCGTAACAAGGGAGGTTGAATCAGCGACGGATGATTCTGCAATTGCTGATCATAGGGCTCTGCGCAGGACATGAGATATGCAGCATGCAGATACCAGCGATACGATTTACCCTCTGAGTACGGCCGTGTTTCCCCTATGGCCGGCTGCTCTAAGCGCGCAAACATGAGAACGTAGGCTCCTGTCGAGACTCGGTGACTATCGGTGGACGCGCGTCCTGCAGGACTGGATGATGGCCTGAGGTGCGCTTGGGACGGTGACTATCCTACCGCTCCCTGCGAGGCCTCAATGCAGCAGCAAAGGCGCTTTGGAATGCGCGTTCTCCATAGTTTCTCGGTCTTCTGCGTTCAGTACTCTCGCCCTGGGCCGATCCGCTGGCCTCGCCCGAGGGTGGGGATGTCGGCGAGGGAGACGGCACATTGACCGAGGGTGCAACTCGACTAGGCGCACTGCTCGGAGTGGCTCGAAGCGATCTCGGCGGATTCGGGGTCGGGATGTAGACCCTCTCGTAGTCGCAGCTGACCTCTGGTAGGACAGGCGTCTGGTACCCCAGAGGGCCTTCCGGAAGGTCGCTGAAAACGAAGTGCTCGAACGAACTCGGTGCGCGAGTGTAGTTGATG